GCGTACTGTGACATTATTTGTTTTGCTCGATTGTCATGGTCAACTGGCAGACATAGGAGATCTATTGCGAAATGCAGCAATGCAAAGTGAATGACCTATTTATAAACTGCACGAACGAAAAAAATATAAGCGAGAAACATTTCAAAACCGCAAAACCTTTATAGAAAAGAACCAACAATTTTGTTATTGAGTGAAAATTCATATATTGACAGCGAGCATTTAATATTTTTTGTCTATGGAAGATCTCGTCGCGTGATGTACGTCTTGTAGACCAAGTTAATAACAAAAATTAATTATGAAATCAAATTCAATGCTATAAACTTGATTCCTTGATATCTTTTAGAGAACTATGAAACGACTTAGTATAGGAAAGTTCAGATCGTTTCGCCGTTTTCWTTGAGTGCAAATTTGATTTGGCTTCGCGCGATAGTCCGACTTTCTGCTATAATTTCGTGTACCATAGAAATTAATGAATATTTGCCAAATTAATCAAACATCTTTAGTGCATGTTTGTAAATTAGATGGATAGATGTTTAAAGTCATTAAGATAGATTGTTGTCATAAAACAATGTCTTGAAATTTTTGCCGCCATTTTGGTTAACAGAGCGAATTCTCCGATAGATTTAGTCTAAAAAACGATTAAAAAAATCGTTCGCCCTTAGCTCTTTTAAGAAATGCTCAAATACATTTTTTGTTTGCCTAGGTTTGTATTATTGGAAACTCTACATGGTCATAAGGATTCCACCTTGTTTTCTTTTTATTGGCACCGAAAAACGGCTCTGGAGTAGCACTAGTAAATGACTCAAATTTTTATATAGCATCACCTGTAACTATCTCCATAATGTATGGAGTAGCACTGGAGTAGCAATAGTAAACGACTCAAATTTTTATATACCATCACCTGTAGCTATCTCCATAATGTATGGGATATGGTATAAAGAGGATTCTGCTTTTTTTCTACTCCTAGATATCTGTCTTCCGAACGGTTTTTTAAAATGAAACCGCTCCTATGTTACCTATAGATCGTTTTCAATCAC